AGTGCGAAACCGAAAAAACCGAAACGAATTGAAACCGCGAAAACCGAAGAATACCGAGAATACCGAAAGAAACCGAGCATACCGAAGAGACGAGAATACCGAAAGAAACCGAGACATACCAAGAAACCGAGCAATACCCGAAAAAAACGTAGAGAAACCAAAAAACGAGAAAAAACGAGAAAAACGAGAAAAACGAAATAAACCGAGAAAAACGAAAAAAACTAGAAAAAACGAAAAAAACTAGAAAAAAACGAGAAGAACGAAAAAAACGAAAAAACCGTGAAAGGCGAGAAAACGGAGAAAACTTTAGAAACTTGAGAAGATTAAGAAAATTTATGAAGGTTTGTCCAATGTTGGACATAAGGAAATAACTTTATAATTATTTAAATTTCTGATTGTTTTAATCCAATGAAAACTTCATTCCTTTTAATCAAATGGAAGTCCTCCTTAGGAACAAATATTATAAAGGAGCAGTTCACAGATTGTTTATACAAAAAGAACATGAATTTTATACCTTTTTGTTCAAGATAAAAAAATTCATTTAGGAAGAAAGAAATGTTGGTTGGGAACACAACTTATATCATGACTTTTGTCAACTTTTGACAAACCTTTGTAAAACCAGAATACTCTCAGCATATTGTAGTATAATATTTCCAGATACAAGTTGTTAAAAATCTAATATAGTTAACGAATTCTGTTTGCAAATTTTGTAGAAAGGAACAGAATGAGTGTAATAGAAGTCATGTCAAAATCCATCATGTTCCTTTCTACAAGGAAAATAATCCATTATTGTTAGCACAAGCCTTCAAATGACAAGATTTACCAATTTCATTTTCAAATGTTTCTTCACTTGTTTCATCATTATGTTTTTCAGCCAACTCTTTTTTCCTATCTGCTATTACCTGCAAATAGATGAATAATAATTGTTAAAGTTTGTTAAAATAAACAAAAATATTCATATAGGATTTTCATTACTTTATTTGTAGTATCGTGAAGAATTTTTAAATATCCTTTCTGAAGCTTTCCAAGTTCACTCCTATCAAAAATAAACTTTGGGAAAAGCCAGGGAATAAAAGTTCTCTTCATTATAAGGTCAGCTAACCTACAAAATAACAATCATCACTAATATTATAAAAGTTTACATAATATTCTATAGAAATTAGTATGGATATGTAAAACATATTCCTTTTAATAGTCTATTCAACATACCCTTGCAAAGCAGAGACGTATTCTGAATTCCCATCATTTTGCACATTCATTGATACTCCCATTGCAGTTTCTACACAGAAGACTACAATAATAAACAAAGCACAAAGGCGGTTATAGATTATAATTAATTTTTACACTTACCACAAATACTATCAAGAGCACAAAGAGTAATGTAGTTATAAATATCGAACTCTCCTCCATTCACTTCTTTCTTTAATTTCTGGATCATAACATTCCCACTATTGTTGAAAACCTCCACAAATTGTTCCAAAATTTTGAAATGGAATGTTGGGGTTATGATTTTTCTATGATGTTTCCACTTGCTCCCTGTGGATATAAGTTCAATATCAAAAATTGAAAGGACATTCAACATTTAAGTATAAAATTACAATGTCCTTACCTGTAGAAGTCAATAGACCTGTTCCTAACCATGGTTCTAAAAATCCATAGGTCATGTTTTTAGTAATATTTGTATTTGAACTCAAAAAATGCTGCAACATCAAAATAATAATTCAACAAGGTAATGTTTGTTAAAGTATCATTATGTATTTCAAGAAGTGGCGTATAAAAGTAATAAAATAAAATTATTATTTTTAAAAATGTCAGAAGCACTAATTTCAGTTTCCAGCACAATGCTCTTAACTCCAACTTATGACAGCAAATTATGAAAAATTTGAAAATATTTCCATTAAACTTTCTAAACTCATCCAGTCCAACAATTTCAAAATTTGTGAGTTAAAATTGAACTTAAAGGCGCCCAAGAACAAAATTTGCCGTGTTGCCATGCAGTTCATTATTAGTTTTCAAGTATAATTGTAAACAAATTGTACAATAATCAATTTTCAATATTTTTTCTAATAAGTTTTCAAAAGTTTGCACTGATACATTACAATATGGGAGTAAAAATCTTTTGAAAGAAAGTGAGGGACAGCTTGGGGTCTTTGAGAAAAAAAAGATATCTGAACAGAACATTTTTCTGTGTTAAGATTGGGTCAAGGATTCATGGAAAGAAGGAAACCACCATATTTTTTAATTAATTGATTCCAATGTGTTAATTAAAAGGTAATTAAAAATAAATGAGTGAAAAGAAAATACAATGTTACAAAAATGTTTTAAGTAATTCACATAAATTTCGTTTGTATTACAATTTTATTTGCAGAAATAATTGACTTTTTTAATTTAAAATTTCCTTGATAATTTCTGCCATTATTTCCCATGATCAATTCAAAATTATTTTGTTGTTTCCTTCAATTGATTAAATTAATAAAAATCATACTGAGGTTTGATCCGATTTATGTTTAGTAAAAAATCAATAAAAACTATATATAACAAATGGGGGAGGCATATAACCTGTCTATAATTGTTTTCTTGGGATCCATAATCCATAACCAGGAATAACCAGAAGGGTGGGCAGCTAGAGCAACCTGTCCCAGGCCCCGACTTAATTGGTACCCCAATTTCTTTTTTTTTTTTTTTTTCATTCAAAAGTAATAAATAATGTATTATCTCTAATCCAAATTTGACACTAAGTTATTTCTGCTGCATGGAGAAATGATTTCTGTTTATGAAGGAGGAAATGTTTTGTTTGAAATGAGGGGCCTCCAAGGTTCAACTGCCCCAAGCCCCTCCTTTTCTTTGGGTGCCCCTTTCCATAACCTACCCAGTATTCTTTGAACCCACCCTTTTACTACACATAGTTGAATGATGAATAAATATACGAACAAAATTTAGCAACAATTGAAAACTAGAAATTTTAACTTCTGAGTAAGAGACAACTTTTTTACATTTGTAGATCTACAGACAGTGGCTGATATACCATAAGCTAAATACACTGCAAATTGGGACTGAAAACTTATTAAAATGAAATTGCAAATTTTCTAAGACGGAGGTACAGACACAACGCCATGTTCTGTTGCTCACCCCACCTCAAATTTGAACAAAACTATTATTTGAAGATATGTTTCATTAATTTTGAATAAAAGGTGGATCTCAAAAATCAATATCAAAAAGGTTATTGTTGACAGTAAGAAGGGGAGGGTCAAAAATATTTTAGCTTGGAACCTCAAATATTGTAAATTCACAGCAGCATACTGATTCGATTTTTCATGGTCATTTTTGATTTTATATTGCAAACATACTAGCAATCCATACTCCCAGCTTTACTCGTAGCACAGCTAACAAAAGGAGATCACAACAAATCGTGCACTTAGTGAAGCTACATTTATGTTCAAAAGCAAAACTAGAGGTCATCTCAGCAAATAGAGTTTGCAAGTCCTTCAATCTACATTGAAGACTTCTCTAATTGACTTCTTTTGTTCAGTGCATTAATTTCATTATGAAATAGATCTCAGTAATTGAATTCTAGATAATAGGAAAATAGATCATTTTTTAAGACAGAAATCATGACTTGAAGACAGATTAATTTTGCAAGATAATATCATTACTAACAATTACGAGGGTTGCCTTTTATATTTCAGGATTAGAGAACAAAAACAAATATTAATCGTCGAAAATCACTTTTTTGCTTTTCAAAATATTCCCCATGAAGATCTATACACTTTTGCATGAGATTGAACCAATTGTCGAAGTACTTTTGCATTCTGATTGAGGTATCTCCAAAACATGCATTCTCAATGCAGCAACCGCTTCTTCGGGTGTCGAAAAACGTTGACCTCTCAGTTTGCTTTTTATGTACGGAAATAAAAAGAAGTAATTCGGTGCCAAGTAAGGACTATACGGCGGATGACTCATCAAATCGATGTTTTGGGTGCTCAAAAATGCAGTTGTTGGAACCGATGCGAGAGAGCACGCATTGTCATGGTGAAGAGTGATCCGTCTTCGGAGGTTGGTTTTCCTGATTTCTTGGAAGACAGCTAGCAAACAAATCGTTGTGCACCACGCAGAATTGACTGTTCTGCGTTGTTCTAGTGGTACGGTTGCGACATGTCCAGTTTTTTCGAGAAAAAAAAACAGGCGACCATCAGTTTGGAAGTGCTTCGTGCGCGAACAACTTTTGTTGGATTTTGCTCATCTTGAAACACCCATACAGACGACTGCTGTTTACTTTCGTGCTCATACGCCTAAATCCACGATTCATCACCTGTCACAATGTCTTAGAAGTGTTTCGAAGCACCGCGATCGTATTTTTTTTGGCATTTTTTTCGACCAATCGAAACGAGCCTCTTTTTGAGCGATTGACAAATTGTGTGGGATCCAACGCGAACAAATTTTTGGACAGTCAAATGTTCATGCAATATTGAATGTATGCTGGTCCCACTAATACCTAAGGTTATCTCAATTTCACGATAGGTCACATGACGATCTTGCCATATCAGTTCACGCACTGCATCAATGGTTTCCGGAACAACAACTGATTTTGGACGACCTTCGCGAAATTCTCTTGGAGTGACTACGACCACGATTGAATTCACCATACCATCGATAAGCACTGGTCCGTGATGGAGCTTCATCGCCAAAAATTGAATTAAGTTTATCCATGCGCTGTTTCTGAGTTAATCCACGTCGAAAGTTGTTAAAAATATTCGCACGAAAATGTTCACGATTTAATTTCATTTTTGGGCCAAGATGAATCTTTTAAGTTACTGTAAACAACACAAATAGCGCTCGTATGTCTAAACGTTCCGAGTACGTATAACCTGAAAACATCCAACTTTACGATAGAGATTTCAGTTGCCAGATTGCAACACCAGGGTTGCCAAATCCCGAAACATAAAAGGCAACCTTCGTACTAGAAGGAACCAAAATACATAAAAGGAAAAAGAGGGTAAAGAAAAAAGGTACTTACTACAGTTAACAGAGAGAAGAAGCATAAAAAGAGAAAGAAAAAATATTTTCTTGGCATCATACTGATTTGAGGGCTTCAATCTTTCAATCAACAAGCAATTCATATATTAGTACACCAAAAGATTTTTCAGAGCTAAGAAATTTGTGTCATTAACTACATAATCAGAATAAGTTTTCAGTAATAACTATAGATATTTTATACTTACCTCCATATATTTTGCATCAGCTACAACAATAAATAATTGAGGGCCCAACCAAATTTTAAATACATGACCATATTCTTTCCACAATCTTGTCATGTTGGCAATAATATCTGAAAAATATTAATAATTTGACATGCATTGCGGGATATCAGAAAATAAAGTTTAACTGCTAATGAGGAGACATCATGAAACAACTCTACTGGTTAATATCTTGATATTTCAAGATTTGATCATCGCTATTCACCTCACGTCCATTAGTAGCTTACTGTAAAGTCAAAAATTTGACAGCAATCTACTATTATAATGTATGTTTGGTAACACTTCGGCTGAAAAGAATACTTGCTCTATGGTGTTTGCATTTCGCGTAGTCATTAACCGATTAATTATGATTCGAATATAATTGTATATGAAATGTTTAGTTCATTCAAACAGGAGTTTACAAGAAGTGTACGGTATTCATTAGATGTCAGCCAATTTCCTCTTTTTAAGGGGAGAAAGTACCAAGTATACCTCCCCATGTTCAATTTGCTACTATTAATGTAACTTTGCTAGAGAATGGTTAACTACAAACTTTTTATATTTTTACATACAAAAAGACAAAATCTTTTTTTTTATGTTAACACATTTTTGAGTTGATTAAAAAATATTTAGTATGTTTCTTCAATTATAACTTGTCATAATTTTTTAGCATTTTTGGACAATTTTTTTAAATATTTTTTATTACTGAAGAATGTTTAAACAAAAATGTCAATTTATTGCCAATTCTATAAAGAATGTATTTTGAAAGTTTCAATAAATTATGAATAATAGTTTCTGAGAAAAATTACACTAAATGCAAAGTGCATTTTTTGGGAAACACTATTTGAAAACGTCTGTACTTGACGCTGTTCTACTAGAACATTCCTGCTCTTTATTCTGGATTATTTTCTTCAGCGGAAAAACCAATGCAACCAACGTAAGAACAAGAGCATATTTCAGTAAATCATTAACAATCCAACATGCGTTTAAAACGATGAAAAATAGAAATACGTCTATGCAGTGTTAAAAAAAGGGCACTGCGCAGACACTAGAACATTTAAATAAGAATTAAAGAAACTTTCAAGCATCCCAGAAGAATTTTTTATTATTATTATTGTTATTAATGTTATTTTATTATTTCACGATGGAAATTTATAAGAACGAATAACTATTCCCTGATTTTGTTCGCTTTTACTGTTTCTTTGAAAGGCTTTGTGTAAGTGTAAGTGTAAGTGTGCGAAAACTATCAAATTTTATCTATTTAAACAGATTTCCGGTGTGTAATAGCTACAATTTTGTAAAATGCTATATTTTGTAACCTTGTTTTATGAAACATTTCAGAGCAGGTTTCAATGCGTTCTTAACTTCTAACAACCCATGTTACGTTTAGCCCAATACAGATTCGTTTACGTCGGCAACTGTGCGATTTTAAATCAGAAAAGTTCTTGTATCATAAAAGTAGCAGAGTTGGATAGTTCTGAAAACATGGGGGATACAAATACAATAAATTATAACTTGTGTTTTTCGAGTAATAATCATCCTAAAATAAATCCTCTACTGATTATTTGTTGGCAGATTTACATCTTTCATTGAGATTACTTATCTGTTTATAACTTTTGTTATGCCCTCGACTAAAAAAGGATACTCCCATGGGAATAATGTTTCATAAATTCCTGAATTTTGTGATCGAATATTGCTATCGTTAAAAGCTATAAAACCTCGATTCACTCATTATTAAATTTCCACCTGAGTTTTAATTTACTTTTGGGTTAATAAATATATACCTAACCTCTGACGCCTAAGTCACATCCACTGATTTACTTTCAAATCTTAAAAAAAAATTAATTAAAAGTGTACACGCGTCATACACATATTAATCAGAAACCAGCTTGAATATTTTGGGTTATTGATTCATTTTTGGACTGGCATTCCCATTCATAAACGATTTCCAATATAAATTATAAGAATATTTAAGAAATTTGTCGACTCACCAACAGTGCCATGTCCAAACTCCAAAGTATTGCCAATAAGAGGCAATGGTTTTGGTCCTGGAATACTAGAAACTAGACGAGCAGCCCGTGACAAATGTAGCCAGTAGTGAGGAACCAGGAATAACAGCAGCAAGACCAAGGCCGGTATCACCAAATACAGCATGTTCGATGTGTGGGTCTGAAAAGTACAAATCCAAAGGTACAAATCCACTTCCCTTGTTTCAGTGTCATCGTAGGACCTTGTGGCGCTACAATAATGAACATCAATTCGGTGATCTTATTTTGATAGTAATTGATATATATTGAAACGAAGAACGTTTCGGTATTAGAATAATTGAAATTGATCACTAATTATAATTAAAATAAAGTACTGGAGTTGATCAGCGCAGTAACGCCGCCGCCGCCACCAACGGTCAAATCGGGGGGTAAACTGCGAGGCGAGCGACGGTGAGGGTAGTGCGCGGAGAGGCCTCGAGTGAAGCACGGACGGGGCAGTGCTGCGTCCAAGAGATTAATTGTCGTTGTTAAGTGCAGTTCGGACTGAGTGTGGCCGCTGAGTGTGAAACCAGGTTGATAAGGATTAACAATCAGATGATTAGTGAAAGTGGAATTGCGCACCAGAACTGATAAAAACCAATAAGACAGGAAATCGTGTGGCCGATGGACTCGTGTCATATTCCCGCCCTGGTATAATATAACAGTGGGCAGTACTGTACGGACATCCGCGCAAAGTGGAGAAAGGTCGCTGAAAAGACTAGAACTGCCGACGAACATCAATCACGCGTCGTGCGTTCCAGTACCCGTGAGACATTATTCGTACCGGCTGGGGGTGGACCCCGGCGAATTCATTGGCCGTCACGCTGGGGCCAGAGGAGTTGGTCGCCGAAGGAGGGCGAATTCCCGGCGGACTTCGGGGCGAACCGAAGGTTGCCGAAGACACCGCCGCCGTTGCTACGACGGCCCCGGTCGCCTCTAGAGGAAGCAGGTGGTTTTTAAAACATCAAGGTAGCGTTTGTTGCCGTGCGCTTGTTTCCAAGGCCTGCGCATTGCGATTTGTAAATACTACTTGTAAAGTGTGTTTTCTGATCATTAAAATATTTAAATGTGCAAAAGAATTTATAACGATTATCTTCCTATGCTGCGCCAACTTCCTGGAGACTCATTCACGAAAATGTACCTGTCCCTTACATAATTTATTTGTCGTGAAAGTACCGCTTCCCAGGTACGTCACAATATATATATATATATCAAATCAGTCCCAAATTGAGTGTTAAATCGCTGTCACTCATACCACTGCGCATCTGACGCGCCGTTTGTCTCCACCTCGGGTCGACGCTTAAAAGCGTAATCTTAGATTCATGTAAATTACCTTAAAAAATGAAAATATCTCTTTATAACTCCCACAACCTCGAGTTCATTCAGATCGATCGGGGAATATCAATTTGGGAGAAAATCGGCTGAACGGATTAGGCGCTCTTGATTGTATACTGACAGACATTTTGCCATCAATCGATTTTTGGCTATAAAGAACCTACAAATCACGGATTCTGGCTACACCACGTGTTAAAGGAATTTCCTGCTGAAAAATGCTGTTTTTTCTGCAGTATTATATTCGGTCCATACTAGGTAAGTTGTGGGAGAGAAAGTAAAATGTCTTCAATTCCGGCCAATCTTTACAAATCGATTACTGAATTCATTTAAATACATATTAACATTTTCATAACTGGATTTAAATGTATAGGCTTGAGCAGGGGACTAGTAAACAAACTGATGGATGACTGTGTGTGTTGGTTCTGATTGTTTCCGACAATGTGAAACTTTTGAGATGGAGTTTCAGAAATTTGCATGCAGTGTATTAAAATAGTACGATATAGTCTGCGCTATGTGTAACGCTCAATGATTTTTAGTTAGCTCGGTTACTAAAATCAGAGTTAAATATTTAGCTGCAAGAGAACTTTTTTCAAGAACAATAATCTGCTTTTTTCGAAGTTTTAATTAAAGCTTTCTGAGGCTTTTGAATGTTTAAACTGTCAACCCAGTTTAATAGTACATCAATTGTTATATTACACTATGAACTATTTACATTATTATGTACTATATTATACTATGTACATTAAACTGTCACTGTATTTTAACTCGAAGTACGTTGAAAGACAAACTAGGCTCTGAAAATTGAAGTGCATGCCGCAACTATTAAGTTTTTATAATGTTAGCGATAACTGCAGTACATTTCATTCAATGTAAGTATTGTGCGGCTTATAGAAAAACCTGTTCCACCAAGGAAATTTATTAGAATTCTTGTGTGGTAGCTTCAGTTGAATTGAGTAACTGACTCACGACATACATTCTCTTTCGGATACGTCATTTTACATTGTCAACTACACTGTTCATTCATATTTTTTTTCTTGGAATGCCGTCTATATAGAGTGGTTATGCAAATTAGTTTTGCAGATATAGCTTCAATAGTAGTCACGAACTAAACAGTTCAAACGGTGCATTAGATAAATTTCCCTTTAGACACATCTCTATCTATAAGTATATGGGGTCAGTCAAATGAAAGCAGATGGGGGGAAAATAACTAAGCTGTTTATTATTTTGCTATAAAAGTAAAGTAATCGCCATTGCTATTTATAAATGTATCCCACTGTGAGACAAGATAGTTAATGAAAAGAAACAATGTTTGCAGTTGCCTTTGAAATAATGATTGTACCCAGGCGCGCACCTCTTCGTCGGAAGCAAATCGACAGGACAGGACACGATATTCTTAAATGTAATACCATTCCAGGTGCTGCAGTGACGTCTACGTTGCTATTCTGTTTAACACCTCTTCCTCCATCTGGCTGTAGGCAAACCAGTACGCGCAGATTTTCCGGAACTTCTGAAGCTCAGGTGTGCGATATTACTCGGGCAACTTTTCTTGAACGATGGATTGACGATTTCGGGTGGAGTGGGGGTATTAGTTACAAAGTAGGCCACTAGATTATTTAAGTAATGCCAACGTCTGTGAAATGAAAGTCAAAACTGCATCTTGTGCTTAACTTTTTCGGGAGTTTTAGGTGACTCTCTTGAAGGACCTGGACCTGACTCAGCCATTTCTTTCGATATTGATAATAAACCTGAACAGGCGTTCTGCATTATGAAAGCAACTGGCTTTGACTAGCTTCTGTTTCGCGCCAACGAAGTTTCAATGCTTGGAAGGTTGTCATCAGTGCCCGCTGCGAGCTTTTGCGTTCAACTGTTTCTTGCACAAGGGAGGGGGTCCAAGGTCATCGTTCAAGAAAAGTTGCGCGAGTAATACCACTCGTGTCAAGATGGCGTAATGCTCACGATCAGCCTATCCCGGTCGACTGTTGTCTTCCAGTGACATCCGACCTTCTCAAAATAGTTTATTCCGCTAAACAACACGCGCACGTGACATTCTGTGTTCACCCCACACAGCAGACATTTCGACATGAATTTCACGTTCTGACACTCCTTGCACTGTCAGAAAACGCACTACACACCTCGCTGTTCCTGTCCCCGGCCTCCATAGATATGGGATGCGCACAGACTCGCTGCTCTCGCTTCGCGCACGTCAGATAAATGGAAGAACGGTAAACGTTCCGATGTTCCTTCCCGATTCCCGATAGAGGGCACTTCTATACACCACTTACAGCGTTACCAACTTCGTGCCACGCTTGTTGTATATTCTGTCTCGTTTTCATTTGACTGTTATTGATTATGTTGTTGATTATTGTAATGATTGTTGTTTATTATTGTTCTTGAAAACGGTTCTCTTGCAGCTAAATATTTAACTCTGATTTTAGTAACCGAGCTAACTAAAAATCATTGCGCGTTACACATAGCGCAGACTATATCGTACTATTTTAATACACTGCATGCAAATTTCTGAAACTCCATCTCAAAAGTTTCACATTGTCGGAAACAATCAGAACCAACACACACAGTCATCCATCAGTTTGTTTACTAGTCCCCTGCTCAAGCCTATACATTTAAATCCAGTTATGAAAATGTTAATATGTATTTAAATGAATTCAGTAATCGATTAGTAAAGATTGGCCGGAATTGAAGACATTTTACTTTCTTTCCTACAACTTACCTAGTATGGACCGAATATAATACTGCAGAAAAAAAACAGCATTTTTCTACAGAAAATGTATTGGGGCACCTCGATATCGCAAAAAGTAGATAAATCTTGTTCCTGTATGCAGTAAATAAGGTCTCTTAACACTACGTGTAGTCTAAAACTACGTTTAGTGGGTCCTTGTTCCGAAAAATTGGTTTATAGCAAAACGTGTCGGATAAACAGATTCATATTGGCTCCTAAGTCGTTCCAACTATTTCTTTCAAATAGCCCAGACCAATCGAGTTGAAAAACTCGGAATTTTGAAATTCGGCGTCATTGTACACTCTTGGAAACAAAGTTTTGCATGGAAAATGCCTTGGCGCGATAGGTTGATGGCTCTGGACATCCCTGCTTGCCGACAGCTCTATCTACCGTTTATTTCCGAAACTACGTTCTGTAGATCGTGCTATGAAAATTTAATTTATCTTATTGGAGAGAGTTTAAAATATTTTAAAATCCATTGAGAGCAAAATAGTTGTAGGAAAAGACTTTCGTGATTCCTGCCAGTAAAACCCAACTGACATACATTTTTGTAAACGTAATGTTTCTTTCAAGTTTCGTTAATATAAAATGTGTTAGTATAACAGGAGTGGGACAAGGGCACAGAATGGCTCAGTATCAAAGTGCTGGTCTAGCACTCGTGAAGTTGCGTGTCCGGTTCCCACCCTACATAGATATTTTATCCATTCTACAGTACAATAAAATCCACTAAATTATAACATTTTACATTTGTGGTGACAATTTTATGCATAAAAACGGTGAAAATTCACTGTCGCGAAGAAGGCGAATATTTCAATTGTCAAGAAAATAGAAAATTGATCCATTGTATTAAAAATTAAAAATTGTGCATTATGTAGTGTGGAGATAACAATAATTTATGTTAGTCCGGTACCGCTCGAGTATTTTTATAACGATTTAGTTATCGCAGCAGTGTTTGGACCGCCCGTAACGTTTTGGCGATTTCTAAAAGTTTTCAGCCAGCATGAGCAGAATCAATAACACCAAAACATTATATAACTATTTTATTTGAAAACTAATCCAAAAGTTCTCAA